TTTTTACTACGTTTTTGGATTAATCGTTTTTGGATTAATAAAAATGTTTGGATCTGCACCTTCCACTTTAAAAATCGGTAACTCTACCATTTTTTAAAATTTTGGATTCGTTTATTTTGGCGTTTGAAAGAAAATTAACAAACCCTAAAATTTTAAAGTTACTTTTGAAATAATTCAAATACCCATAACTCAATTTTTCCAAATGAAATATCCCAATTTTTATTCTACTAAATAGAATAGAATTTAATTGTGCATCGATTTGTATTAACATTCCCTATACCCAAATTTAATAATTTTTAAGTTATGGTGACTTTTTGTTAAGACTACAGAAAATGTATTACTAGCCACACCTGTTTTCGCATAGTTTGCTATGGAAATTAAAAATGTCAAAATTTTCTCTAAACAAACGTCAACAGTAAATTATTATTTGACAAATAGTGCCAAAATATGGAGAAGGAAAGTTACCCAAATTTAATTATTATTAATTAATTTGAATTTATAATTAGAGTAGGCAGTTTTTTTTTCTTTAAGAATGATAAACTAGTGCAAACTGAAGGAAAAAATATATTCTAATTAAATATTACCGTTCAAAATCTTATTATTTGATTCTTTAACTTGATTAACATGATAATCATTGTTTTCATACCTAATAAAGCCTAGCCTAATTATCAATTCAAATGATCGCATGATATTAGTTATATTAATTATCAAGTAGCCAGTATTATTTATTATTTTTATTTGTTTAATGAACTACATTATCATAATTTTGTTACACTCGCCATAAATACAAAATAAATTCATTAAATCTAAGTTTGAGTAGCTTTGATTCTCCATATTTTGGCACTGTTTGTCAAATAATAATTCACTGTCGACATTTATTGAAAAACAATTTTGATTTCCATAGCATACTATGCAAAAACGGGTGTGGATAGTAATAGATTTTCCGCAGTCTTAACAAAAAGTCACCATAATTTGACAATTATTAAATTTTGGTATAAGAAATGTTAATATAGATCGATGCAAAATTAAATTCCCTTTTAGTATTTAGTAAAATAATGTTAATTTGTTTTTCAAGATTTAAAAATACCTGAAGAAAGATTTAAGCATTCTCTTTAAAAAGCCAAAAAAACGAATTCAAAATTTTAAGAAATGACAGAGTTACCGATTTTTAAAGTGGAAGGTGAAGATCCAAAAATTTTTGAAAAACTCCAAATATTTCAAAAACGGCTAAATTTAGGTATAGGAAAAGCTGATAAAAAATTCCTTAAAATAATTCGATTAATCCAAAAACGTAGTAAAAAATATAGCTTTCCATTAAAACTAAGAAAGTTGAGACCGACTTCCGGTATAAACGGAAGTGCCGCTATTATGAAAATATTTTTATTTAGGAGGACTTAATGGATTATGGCTATTTTCAAATAAATACCTACGATTATTAGAACTCCCAATACTTCTAATGTGAGGTTTAGACGGAACATCCTGTAGAATAGTTATGAGTTTGGGGGCAGCAATTTCACATGTATTTATTGTTAAGTTACATCGGCCTCCTCAAGAATTTCTTCGAGAAGTATTTTTGTATAACGTGTTACAAATAAAGCCGTTGTCAGCGTATATCTAGCCACTTAACATTCTGCTCATTGTAAGTGTTCCGATGGTCTAGCTATATGTTCCTCATTGTGCTCGTTCCTAATCTGGCAAACACACAAACAATAAACAGTGGAAATTGTGTGAAAGTGACATTGTGTCTTTTGCCGAGTGTGAAGCACATTTGACAACGTCACAATGGTCGTACCCCGATGCGGTACTTTACGGTCGCCGCACTAAAGGGGCCGACACCGAATATCGGCAGCTCAATGGACTCGTTCAGTTAAACGTAATTTGCTTTAGTTATTACACCGACAAAGGTGATACTGACTTTCGGATTTTTGACTCAACGACGGATAAATCGACTGTTATTCCCGAATAAAAGATGATCTACGGTTCATTTTTGCCCCGTGTTCATATTTAAATCGCTCTTGATCGTAACATTTCGCCTACGGCTGAATTTACAAACTGGACCCACTTCAAATGATGTTACATTATGTACTTACAAATGGCCTAATACAATTTGAAATTTGATGGAACTAAAATGGAACGAATTTATTGCCGTTTTACAGATTTGTTCTCAGTACGTTTCTCATCGAGCTTTTCAAGTCCCGCAGCAGTAAGCTTAAAACTCGTCTGACTTGTTTTTAAACTTTAGCGGAATCGAGCAAATGGAAAAATTTTCAAGTTTTAACACTGTTATTACTTAATAATCTAATACAAAGAAAGGTGAAATGTGAAACAATTTCTTATGTTGTTTTGTGCTATGAGTTATAGTTCGTAGTAAAAATTAATACTTTGATCAATTAGGGTTTTATTGCATTAGTAGGTATAATAGTATATTATGATATGAGTTTTATAAGAAACATTTTGGAATGTAGGGAATTTGGCGGCAGTTGGCGACATTGCATGGTGGCTAGGTGGCTATGAAATAAATTAATTTGAAACGTCATTATTTTATTCATAAAAATAAATTTCGAAGGTGTCGAAGACGTTTTGCAATCTACGGCGTTAGAAATACCGACCTTGAGGGCAAATACGATGAACAGTTTACTCCCTGTGAGATCACACGCCAATATTGTTCAGTAAGTTGTCTACCTAACAACAAAAATGTCAAAAGTAACAATAAGTACCTTTTATTTTACTTGGTCCTATGATCTAAAGGTATGCGTAAGCACCACTATAATCATGTTCATTTGGAATATTTTTTGCGATGATTAATTAAACCAAACACAGCAAAAATTTCGTATTTGAATAATTTCATTTGCGTTAGACCGATTGACACTGACAGTTCGATGGAAAAACGGTTAGGTCGCCAACATTATAAGACCAAATTTCCCTCTTTTTAGTATAATTTTTATAGCACTGTTTTTGTTCATTACGAAACCCAAAACAGTTTCGTAATGGACCTTAGTACGAACGCAAAGTAGAAAAAATTAATTACAAAAGCTTCTCGGCTTGCGAATGCTAATGCTAATCATGCTAATAAAATTTCTTAAAAAAATTTACTGTTTGCAAATGCACAAAAAATGTTGTAAACAAAAGTTAAAATTTTATAAGTTGTTAAATACCTAAGTAAGTAAGTAAAACGAATGTACATACAGGCTGACCCAGAGGCGTGTGATCGGTGCATAACTTTTGTGCTATTTGATATAATAACATACCGTTTTCAACATGACAGACCTACTTTTAAAGTAAATATGTTATTTAATCAAACAGAGAGAAATATTTCAAATATACTGTAAATACAAACCGCATATCGTTAAAAAGCTAGTCAAAAATGCTATCGATATGTGAAAACAAATGCAGGATGTTCTATTTCAAAAAAATTAGTTATTCAACTTTTTGCATTTTTGCACACCCTATAAAGTGTCTACTTACCTGAACTAAAAGTCGACTATTTGCTAAAACTACAAGGTATTCGAAGTTTTTTTGCAATTTTTTGGAAAATATGTAGGTATAGCCGACTGACTATACGCAGTGATTTTTCAAATGAAGGTCTTCCGAAACGGAAAGAAATAGGCCTATAATAGTTTAAACCTAGTTCCATTATTTTTTTACGTAGAAACTAATAATGCAAAAATATATAGGGAGTTGTATTTAAAAAATAAAACTTTAGTTCACTACTCCGTATTTTTTATTATGTACCCTGTATATAATAAAAATATTTTTAAATTATGCACTTTAAGTAGATCTGCGTGAAGTGATTAACTCTGTTTCCAAATATTTCTGGATTTACTATAATACAAGTGGATATTTTATGTCTCAAACAGTTATCTCTTTGGCCATCTATCGGTCAGAGTAAGAAAACTCTCACTTGTAGTCACAGCCTTCTGGATGAATAGGAAACTTCGTATTTTTTGGCCGGTCCCCTCTACATTAGTCACTTACATGACCTACATGATATATGACCTACAAAACCCTACGATTTTACTGCCATCTAGTAGATTCTTTATTAAGTTTTTTTGGTCGACGGCAGTCCAGTGAATTTCTAAATAAGCTACAGTGACTGTATTAATATGTTTTTTATTACGTTTATGAATTATTCAAGTGATTTTGAGAGAGTTTTCATCAGCCTTCCCTGTTCTAACATTTGATTTGCCCCACCAACATAAAATAACCAATCACAATTAAAGTCTGATTTAATTTACTACCTACAAGAAACAAAATTAAAAACACAAATATAATCCAAATCTTCAAAATTAATGCCAAAATGACTGTCTTCATTACTTTCCCCCAAATTTATAATTAGATCTTCCAAAACATTTTAGAAAACTGTCAGCACTACTGTTAGAATGTAAAAATCAAGAATTTATAAAAAAAAAATTGTTTAAATCTGACGGCCTTGCAGGCATATTTCATTAATTGCTGAGAAAAGCGAATGCATGGGGCAATTAAAAAGTTGTCGCGGCTTCAAATTAAGTTTAACCGTTTTTGAGATTTAGACCATTTTGAATTTTTTTGGATTTGCACCTTTCCATTTAAAAATCAGTAATTCAAAATTTACGATTACGTTTGAGAAAATTCAAATACATTTTTTTAATGAAAGACCCCAACTTTTTCTTCACTAAATGAAGGAGAATTTAATTCTGCATAGATCTGTACCTATCAACATTCCTTATATCCATTTCCGGTGTAACCGCAAGTGCCGCCGTCTTGAAAATATTCTCATTGTGCAGGACATAACCGATTATGGATATAAACAAAATTTTAGATAAATATCATTGTTAGTACTTCCAATACTTCTAATGTGGGGTTTAGCCGAAACATATAGTTATTTTGCATCAATATTCAATAAATAATGTCAAATTGAGTTCTTTTTATATTTATCAAAATTTTTTCCGAGTTATTCTTATGACGCAACAAAGCAAAAAATATAACGTTGACAATAATAAATTAAAAACATTTACTTATATAATTAACTTAAATATATTTCGTTAGGTTTCAAAGATACAATTTTTTCAGTAATATCCCAGCATTGTTTTGACTGTTGCCTCTCAACTATTGTATATCTTTTAATTTTTTGACAGTCTACAAAGTTTTCACCATTAAATTTTTCGATTCCTTTTGCCACAGAACAATAGATTGGTGTTTGAGCTCCTTCCTCTGGTGTCTGTTAAAAATAATAAATTTTAATTGACATTAGAACCAAATAATATTTTTATTTTAAATGTGGTGTATAAAAAATATGTTTGTTTAAAGTTTGAAATTAAATTTATATTTTTTGGCGGGATATTTATAAACAAATTTCTTATCAATTTTTTATTATAATGTTTCCTACCTGTATCATACCTAGGGCCGTAGTAAGTCAAAAATCTTATACCTATATGAAACACAAAGACAGTTTAAAAAAGCAAAAACTAAAAACCCTGTCTAAAAAAAACTTTATATACAGGTGTTTCCTTTTTATTGATACAAATTTAAACAGGTGATAGAATATTTAATTTTAAGACAAAAGTTTCCTATGAACATGTATCAAAAAATGTTATGTAAGGGAGCTACACCCCATGAAAGAGATGCGTTTTTTAATGAGGTTTTCCCACAATTGCAGAATAGATAAAATTACAAAAGTTGGTACAGCTGATAACCTTTAAACACCTGAACGAATTCAATTATCAGTTGTCGAAATTATTAATCACGGGCGTCTTAAACGGTAAAACAAATTTAATTTTTAATTTTTATCCTCTTTATGATCTGTAGCATAAATTTTAAACTGATGTTATTCAAAAACGGTAAATTATATCGAAAAAACGCAAAAGACCTCTTTTTGTGAAACACTATAAAATTTAAAATTTTGTGGCTAAAAGTGGCAAGAACCAACAGCCAAAATAGTTAGGGTACTTTTTACCCTAAATCCCTCAGGTTATCAGTTGTACCAAATTTTGTAATTTTATACAGGGTGATTCACGATGAATAATGAACCTGACCAAATTTTCGAATCAACCAACATTACAGTTGTCGCAAAATAACTTGCGAAGAGTAATGGTGGTTGCATCGAGAATTTGGTCAGGCTCATTATTCCTCGTGAATCACCTTGTATACAATGGTTTTTGAAATAATGGAAAAAATCCATTAAAAGGAGATATGTAGCTCCCTTATATAAAACTTTTTGATACATGTTTATAGGAAACTTTTATCTTAAAATTGAATAAGTATTCGATCACTTGTTTAAATTTATAAAAATAAAAAAGGAACACCCTGTATGTCCTGTCAAAAAATATGTATATACAGTAATTCTGTATTATTGGCTTAAAAAGTCATTGTTTTACGGCCTGTATAAGTTATAAATATTTTTTACCTTAAAAAAGAACCTTTTAAAGAATTTGGCCAGATTATGCATGTTTGATGGTGTTTGTTTAAAAATTTCTGTATTTACTAATCCTGGATCGGCAGAATAGGTAGTGATTTCTCTTTCATCTAATCTTCTGGCTAATTCTATTGTAAATAATATCATACAAAGTTTTGTAATGCCATAATCGTTCAATGTTCCCACAGCGTTACCCATTTTATTGACATTAAAACCGTGAGCAACTCTTGCCATTACAGATGTTAAATTTATTATTCGACTTGACTTACTTTTCCTCATTAAATCTAAAAATATTTAAAGCCAAGTATAAAAAGATTGATAAAAACAAACACTTACCCGTTAAAAGAACAGTTAAGAGAAAAGGAGAGAAATAATTGACTTGCATCACTAACAAGTTACCGTCTTCAGTTAAAGAATTTAGACCTACTTCAAGAACAGCTGCATTATTTACTAAAATGTTTAAATGGTCTTCAGATTTTTTTACATCTTCTACAAAAGCTCTAACTGAAGCAAAAGAACTTAAATCGATTAATTTCACGACCACATTTTCATTTCCAGTTCCATTAATAATTTTCCTGCATGCCTCGTTTGCTTTTTGTTCATTTCGACAAGCTAAAATTACTCGTGCTCCTCTTTTTGCAAAATCTAATGCTATCTCATAACCGATGCCTACAAGATATAATTGAATCAAAAAATACATTCAGACAAATACCTCACCTGTATTCGCTCCGGTAATAAGAGCAGTTTTTCCTATTAGACACATCTGACTATTACACTTAACAATCGTTAGTCTCAAATAAATTTTAATGATTATAGATGAGATAATTAATATAAAAATTATAAACAATATGTTCATTATAATAAAATTTATTTATTTAATTTTGTTTTTGGTTTCTTTTCTAAGTACTAAACATTACACTACTAACGCTGACCCTTGGATGTGATCTTGCTGTTATTTCTCGACATTTTGACTGAGTGTTTTTCAATCATAACCATTTGATAAGATGTCATTAACATTAACACGTGTACAAACAGGTGTCGAACAACCTTTGACACTTTTTTATCTTTTTATATACTTATTTATTTTTCTAATAACATTTAATTTGAAATGATTTTGTAATACATACTATTTGTTGGAAAAAATTTTCGGATTAATCTAAATATAGACTGTCCCGGAAGTCACACATATATGGCAGACGCTCTTTCTTGTGTCTACAATAATATGAAGCGATATTAGTCATCATAGATTAGTTATTATTTTAATTATTTATTAATTTAATTAGTTATTATTTTATTTCATATTTCAGATTCGAATTACGTGATAATTCAGCACGTGTGCAAATTATCAATAATTTGCCACTACTTGTAATACATCGCCGAAAAGCTCATAGTCATAACAAGCGCTTTTCAAAAATGTCTACAACAGCCTATTTGGTAAAGCTGTTTTCCCAATTATTCAAAAATGAAGACTATAAATTTTAATTTTTTTAATTATATTCAAGGAGTGGAAGTGCGTCACTTACCATGTCATTTTGATTCCTCCTAGAAACCACCAAAACGGTTTTGTGTGATTCTTAATAACTTTTTCAATTGAGAGATATTACCGACTGCAAGTTTTAAAATTGACACAGTGTATAATTTTTTTGAAGAAAAATAGAGTAGGTAAGGTGAATTTTATATGCAATTACCTAATTTTAGTTTCAACCTCTTTGAACCCATGATCACAACAAATGTCAATACAATATGGAAATCCATTAATCGCCAAAATTTCAAAACATTTTAATGTTTATGTATAATATTATTTATTTATTTTTTTGTTTCAAAAATATTTTTTGAAAGAAGTACTTCCATGTATAGAAGTTAAGTATTTGTTTTTCTATGAAGGACCAGTTGTATTAAAAACTTCATGAAGGTCTTTCTTTTATACGATCTGAATCTAAAATAAGTACATATTTACTAAAAGTAATATTTAAGCTCATAAAATTAAATTTAAAATATGAAAAAATGATTTTGTAATAGTATATTAAGCATCAAAAACAGTAAGGACATTTTATTTTACCGATCGTCTGAGATCGGTAAGTCCTTAACGTTCGTGATGCTTATGACATTTTTTGCGCGATTGATTTTTTTTAGTTTTTTTAATAAAATATTTAACAAATGTTCCATAACGCCAAAGTATTTTGGCGTTCTAGAACATTTTTGAATGCTAACCGACTTAGCAACAATAAACAAATTACTTACCGACGAGTTTTGGATAGCAACGAGTAAATACTACTTACTGTCTTGTACGTAGTAAACAATCGAATAGAGTCTATTCGCGCAAAAAAAATAAAGATGTATAAGGGAAAAAATCGTTAGTAGAATTTCCAGTCAAAAAGTTCATGAGCACAAAAAAACTCGCACATATACCCAATGTAAGTTATCTATGATACAAGTGGGTTTTGATTTGAAAGCGTAACCATCTATGAAATCACTAAAATAGAGCAAGAAAAAAAAACATTGAAAAATATTGTTTACTCGTATTTATAAAATTCACATTTGTTCTTATTCTTACGTTTAATTATGTCTTTATGATATTGTTTACATTTTCCTGAATATCTTTTACAACAAATGGGGCCTCACCCTGTGTTCTTAAATAATAAATTCCCCGAGCTGAAGACGGAGCTGGATCTCCCATCGGTATTCCTTCCTCCCTATATTCTTCTTTCTGCAAGAAATTTTCAAACGAATCACAACGATACGCCATAAAAGGTACTTCAGCAGTCAAACTTTCAGCAAAATAAGCCCAACTTCGACCATGACTGCAAGCTTCTATCATCTGTAGAAAACACATTTATTACATCCAATTTAGCTAAATTGAATTTGGGATTACTTCAAAAATATTTTCACAGCCAGGTTGGGGGACACTTCCTCCATTTGGATAGAAATCAGCATGTCCTATTGAGCTACTCATTCCCAAATAGCCTGCACAAGTATGAATCACATCCACAAAATCGGCATCGGCCTTGTCCAGATGTCCGCCTTCGACCAAACCCATGTTGAAACCAGGCAATGCTGGATCAAGACCGGTCACTCTACCAACTTTGGCTTTTACACCTCGAGCTCCAAATCCAGTGACATGTGCGCCTAAACTATGACCTACCAAATGAAAATTTTTGGGATCGGCACCAAAATCGACAAGTTTGTTTAGAAATTGAGAATAGAAGTCTCCCACCGATTTAGTGGCCCTCATTGGGATTGGATAAAGAACATTGCCAGAAATTTCACTCCAATCCATTATAAATACATTCGCGTCGTATTTTTTCAAAAACCCATCTTTAATTTTTACACAAGTGTCAGCAGTACCACTTGACATCCATCCATGAGTCACAAATTTGCTTGGTTTACTTTTATCGAAAATTTTTTCAATTTCTTCGAAAGAATCTTCAACTTTGGTACCCTGAGGGTGTTGTCTAATTTAATTTTATAATAAGCATAGCTGAATATAGACAATACCTGGTGTAAAGAGTAAAAGTTACAACTTCTTGTGGTTCAGGAGGAAAGATAAATCTAGCGTCATCTGAATCATTTGCAAAATAACCAATAATCAATTCGCCGTTCTCTTTCTGGCCTACTGGAATCCATTCAGTGCCAAATCCGGGATATTTTTCCTGAAGAGCTTCCCGGCTGTAATTTTGAGTTGAATCACCCAGTCCTAAGATCCTCGAAAAATTATTTTTGATATCATTGAGAATTAAACTTACCCAATAAGGTAGCAAACAGAAAGAGGCCCCACATTTTTATCAAAGTAAGTATAACTGGTTAATAACTACATTATTTTTATACTGTAGGTGTAATTAAAAGAACAGAGATTGTAGCGGAAATATTAATTACTTCCGTGTTTTAACACAATGCAAATAAACGGTTTTGGTTGGTTTTATCTTCAAAGTGTCAATTACAAATTAAAAAAAAACGCAATAATTTATAAATATTTAAATCACATAAGGTGTTGATATGATAACCACCTTCATTTTACTGAATTTTATAATCAGGTTAGGAAGATAATAAAGTATTTGGGACGTTTGTTGTAGATAACGGGTGGTTTTTTAAATTTGGCGTCAAAGCTATCCATGAAAGTTTGATTGTGAACAAACCATTATATTGAAAGGTTTAATCTGACATTTCACACTTCACGGGGCGTATTAAAAATTGTGGTCCGTTCACAACACACTCATATTACTGCCAACTATGACGCTAAATTGAAATAAACACCTTTCATAATAAACAGGGTATATAATAAGATTACGAAATTGTAGATACCTACAGGGTGTCAATTTTAAAACTTGCAATCGGCATCTCTTTTTATATTCAAAACTAGCGATTTCGTCTGCGTTGAAGATGAAGTTAATCTGCTTATCTATAATTTTTCTGATTTCGCCAACTCAAACCAACGCGGAAGCAAAGAGCCAACATTTAAGAAGACGACGAAAGAACGTTACAAACGTTTTCTTGTTGGATCTTCTTGGTATGGGAATGGTGAACACAAACACAATGAATAGCCCAGGCAAATTAGACAAATCGGTGGAAAAAAATCCTAGAGCTGGAATTTTTTAAACGCTTTCTTTACAATTGGGTACGATCATTCATATCAATCATATCACATACGCTTTGGACAACAGAAAGATTAGTCACATCAAACTAACTACGAAAATTCGCCGTGGATGTCTTACCTCATGTCTTTTTCTTCGGGGGATTTTTTGTTCTGTTTTAAGCAGTGACGAATCCAGTTTGTGCTCTCTCTGGTAAAATATACACAAAGATAACAAAAATTTCTACCTTACTGGTGATAATTTTTATTTTGGTTAACAAAAATATTTTGGTATACTTAAGTCAATATTGATATGACCCTTTTAATTAATCAGTAATTTTCAAAAAACACACTAATTAAGGATAAATGAATTAAACCGGTGTAAAATATTCACGAAATAAATTATGATGATTTGTTTTGTAAAT